AGTCCTCAAGTCTTGAGCCTTGACTGTACGTACTTGGGTCTTAGTCTACTCCGTACAGTAATAGATGGGCGCTGGATAAAATAGCAGATACAGCGTTAGGATGATCCTGGGAGTCCGAGAGCCATCGGCGGCTCCTTAACTTCCTGCCCCGGACTATCAGTAGTCACCATCAAATATCCGCTTGGTACTTGGTCTCTGCTGGGACTGCCAATTCCCGGACTTTATGGTTAATTATGAACTAGGTAGCTATGTATGTATGCACAGTCAATGATCCTTAGACCATTGTTATAGGTAGTTCTATTAGTATGGTGCTCATTCCGGTAGATTGTACGGAGTATATGTCTGATCACTATGATCTACATTCACCACTGATAGTCTGAAACTGGATATCAGTAGGAATAAAATAAAAAAAAAAACCCCAAGGACCTCCTAGAGTCCATTTATGCCTTGAATAAGTGATTTTATGTCTCTTGCGTGAAATTATGGTCCTATCGGGGTGGCCGGCAAGGGACCAGCAGTTGTGAAGTCATCCATGGTCCAGACTACCACAGTCTCATAGTATCATAGATGATCATCATTGAAGAATTTCGAAGGTTTGCGGTAGTCAATTGATAGTTAAAAAAGGGAGGAGCTTTGAGGGATCAAAAGTATCTGAAACCCCAGTGAAGATGATCAAAGTTCTTTGAGACGGGGAATATAGTTAAGAGCTGGGTGGGCACTGTAGGCAGTAAGAGAGTAAGAGACTAAGATTGATAGTCCCAAAGTAAGTTTGAGTATTCCCGTCGCCATCAAGCATATCTAGGACTTCTAGGTACTAGGTTAAGAGGGAGATACTTTAGTAACCATGGGTAAAGTTACCATGGGCACTCCAGAGTCCAGCATGATGACCCGGGTCCAGCCCACTGATAGATATTATCAACATCCTCTTTGGATATGAAAGGATAATCTTCATTCGCTCTTCTGGTTCATTTTCTCATCATTAGCTTGATTTGACAAGTCTGCCATCGAATTATGCCTATCCAATACTTGTACTACCTAACCCTCTAGGTATAGCACAGTTGCTACTGGCCTGCCAACTCCCAATTTCCACCACCGCCATCTTGGCTCATCCCGTCAATCATCCATCATCTCGTGCATTTGAACCATCCATTATTCTTCTCGTCCTTCATTTTTCTTTCTCCCTTCCAAATATCTACTGACAACTCTATTCCATCGCCAGAGAGACTATCTCGTTAATTGCATCCAATCGACATTGCGGCACGGCCTTAAACCCCTCTTATTTTTCAGCCTCTGCAGTCCATCTCCTCACTCCTTCTCTTTCCAAAGATCCTTCTCCCTTCTGGATGGTGCTTTTCGCCTGGGTTCACCTTCAGAGGCTGCCTCAACCTTCCAGCTAATCTCCCCATAGCTTATGCCGGCATCCTGGACTCTGATCCGCGTTGCTCCCTGGATGCAATTCGGCTGGCCACAACCATGGCGCATTCATTCGACGCGGCCCAAACCCCCTTGAATGGCTATTTACCGGGCAACATGCACTTCCAGGAGCCAAATCAGATCCCTGCTTATTCTATCTTTGGTGCTAGCCAGTATCCCGACAGTGTAGCTTTTTGGCACAATCTGCCCCCGCAACCCCCGCAACCTGGCATTCCCGCCCCGGCACCGCCATATCCTTCTGCTCCGCCCAAACAATCGCACCAGCCGTCTCTTTTGCAGCCCGTCACCGATCAGAAAAAGCACAAGCGCACCAGAAGCGGTTGCTTCACCTGCCGCTCCCGTCGCATCAAATGCGACGAGACCCGTCCCATCTGTGAGAGATGTCGGAAAGGAAATCGCGACTGTGTCTATCCGTCGCCCACTGCGACTGGCGCTTCGTCCAAGGCAGGGTCGCGGTCTGGAGCCAAGGCCAGAGCCCATCGCCCGCCATCGCAAGGGAGTGACTCTTCGAGCCATGTTGAACTGGATGAGTTTCACGCGCTGGAGCCAATTTTGGACGAGGAAGAGGTGGATGAAGGCAGCGTTGAATCAGGCACTCGGCAGTCTCCCTCCACGACATCACTCTCAGCCAGGGTCAGGCCTAGCTTGGCCACAAAACAAAGCATGCAGTCTCCCAGGAAGCGCAGGACGAAGCAAACAGGTCCAGAAACGACTCACTCCAACACAGAAGGCAGTTCACCCTCCACCGAAGCCTCCTCCTCGAGATTTGAGTCGATGAGTGCGCGGTCGGCCAGTGTCGGCCTGCCCAGTCAGGAGCCTCTTGGCGCCGTCAATTTCTCACATCTGCCAGAAGATTTGCGATTTTACCTTACTTTTCATCAAGACTACATGACGTATCGCCATTATTTTATGAAGCCGTCCTGCGATCGGTTTGTTCATCACAGTATCATCAAATTCGCCCTGCAATACGAGCCGCTCCTCTATGCAATCGTCGGTTTCTCTGCTTACCATCATTGCGTACATACCGGCAGTGGGAAACTCTATACCTTTCTTCAGTATTACGACAAGGCCTTGAAGTTGTTGCGGAAATCTTTAGCATCAGGAGAGCCACATTGTGAAGCAACGCTTATTACCGTTCTCGCGCTTACAACTTTTGAGGTATGAATCTGAAACTGTCCCGCTTGCTCTCTAATATCAAACTTCAAAGATGGTTCGTCCTCATACTCACTAGGTATAGGAATTTATAGGCGACTGGGTGAATCTCATCGACCACCATCAGGCCGCTCATTCGTTGATGCGCGAACTTCTGACGCCTGAATCCGTCAAATACAACGAACTCCATGAGAATATCTTCCTTTGGTACGCTCGATTCGATGTGGTCGCGGGAATCTTGGCCGGAAACGAAACCATTCTGGGTCGTGAGTGGTACGTCGCTAGAGAAGAATATGACGCCGAACAAGCCGCCAACTTCCCAGAAGACCCGGAGAAGCAGCTCGCACTGGCTGGGTCCATAAATCGCCGATTCGGACTAGAGATGGCCTCTCTGTATGCAAAGCTCTCTCGCGGAATGATCCCGATTGAGGAGTTTATTGGACAAAATGAGCAGCTCGCGCAGCTGTTGGAGAAGATGAGGAGCATCCTGGAAACACTCGCAGATCCAGAGTACACAGTCACAAGCTTTCCAAATCAAAAACCGCTGACGGAAGATGACATCGTCGACCCTTACGTTCCTGGCAGTCTGCATGTCGGCCCTTTATGGGAGGTTAATTTTGCTTGGATCGACTACCTGTCCACAAAAGCAATGTTCAAGTACCAATCCCTACTGTCCGTTCGCCAATCATCAATGGCAGAACTGGAACATTTGGCCCTAGAGCAGGGCCGAATGATCGAGACAATCGAAAGGTGGCCCGACAAGGAGAATGGTTATATGTTTGCATTCAAGAACAGCATTGGAATGGCGAGCATGTTTCTGCCGAGGGATCATAAACATGTCATGTGGGCGCGAAGAAAATTCGCGCTGATGGAGCAGAACGGGTAAGTGATCTTGCTCTCTCCTCCTTTGCATTTTTGACATTATTGTGCGGTGTGCAATATGTTCCTGGCCGGCAATAGCTAACAAACGTGTTTGATGGGTACAGCTACATCACGCCCCCCAAGTTCCGTGCAGGCATGGCAGCCCTTTGGCAATCGCCTGAGATCGACCACTGGTGGCTACCAAACGAGGAAGGATACCCCGAGATCATCCGCGAGGTTCGCTCGATGACCGAAGAAAGGACAACGCATGCACGGGACAACTTTCGGGAAAACGTACGCGACATGAGAACCATCTTCTGGAAACTTAGCTTGGATGACGCCGAAAGCGAGACTAGCCCGCCTTCAGCTGATTTGGAAGCTTCTCGGTGATGTTTCTGGCTGCTCAACTGAGGTCCTTGCATTTGGTTTTCCACTTCATCGAGCCTCCAGACACATTATGAGGAAGAGGTCCTGGATCCTTGACAAACGCGTCTCAGTGCTTCTGAATAGTCGGCAGGGAAATGGAAGACCTTCCTGCATTGATCGGGTCAGATTCATACGCCTCTATCACGCACCGCCTTCGAGCTGCTGCGCTGAATATACATGAGGTTAATCTGCGTGCCTTTTTCATCACTTTCATCCAAGACACCTCTTGATCCTTCAACAAACCGATCTCCACTGTGTCACTCGACCAACATCACGATATCACGTCCTTCCACGTTTCGTACCTATTCTTGCTTATTTTCATGTGTCTGTTTAACCTATATACCCTCATACTTTTTTTTCATTTTTCTTGATTTTGAATTGTCTATATCAACGACCGAAGCATTGGGAGGCAAGCATAAAGCGCAAATACCCGTTTATACCTGGAGTTGGTACAAGGGTTGGCTGGGATTTCATACAAACGGCATTTTCACCCCCATACATCATATCCATGCATTTGTAATACAAACTCCGCTACGATTGTTGCGCGATGACAATAGATGATCTACAATCTGTCTGAGAGAGGAAGTAGTCTCTTCAAATCTGTTAAGGTTGTTGGATACAAGCTGAAGCTGTCTTCAATCTAGCATATGACTATAGGGTGTGGAAAATAGGGTTTCCCGTCCGCTTAGCTGTACTCAAGCTACATATTGAATGCAGTCAATTCTTAAAGAGCCTTTCTCTCCTAAAACAGTGGCCTTGTAGTTTTAGTATGGGTGCTGGTAATGTGGGTGAGGACTCGATTACTCCCGATCACCCCTGCTGATGAGGGCTGATAGGTAAATAGGCTCAGAGGCTTAAGGTGCTCAGTTATCCACTCCTTAAACATTAGAATGGAAAGGATTCTAGATGTTAAAGTAGACGGTTGCCAGACTAAGGTAGACACTAAATCTAAGAGGGGCGGGAGAATCCATTCTAAACTATTGCAAATGGCGCACGATCACACATGTGTTGTTACCCGAGGATTGGAATGGCTTTCATAGTAGCCTTGAGCAGGTGTCGCACTCCAACAACATTCAGCACATCCGTGTAATAGATAAGGTACCTTCCAAACGACCGGAGGAGGTGGATTACAGCTCCGATCCCTCATTGTTTGGAGGATTTTCCGACAGCCGTGCTAGCTCTTTTGCCTCTTCCACATCCGAGTCTTCCATTTCGGTTTCGTATGCTTTCAGGTGCTCCGGGATCTCCTCATACTTTGCATCCCGGTCGTATAGTTCCTCCAGTTGCTGGGTAATCTTCTCTGGAACATCGTAGTTGATGTGGAATAGGTGGCCATCTAGGCACATGACATCCGGCGCGACAGATGGTATGCCCGGGGCTTCATCCCTGGGTTCCATTGTAAGGGTTATTTTTGGTGGGTAGAGAAATAATAATTGCTCTCCAGGCTCAAAATTAGTGATGTGGAGGGGAATAAAGACACAGCTGATTTAGCACCTGGTGGATCATGCCGTCCTCAAGTGCGTTCCATGGGTGATAGATACATCACCACCTCCCTAAACTGCCACGCTGATCACCATGTACTTGGGTGGGTGACCACTGTTTCACGCGACAGTTTCAACCTGTAGATGTCATCAGCCTATCTCACCCGATGTCTGCTTATAAGGGGTAAGAATGACCCATACAGTACAGTTATTAAGCCTTTCTTTCTGCTACTCATGACCACCTGCCTGTTCTGTCAAGCAAACCAAGTGTATCTTGCCCTGCTCTATTCCCCCCATTCCTTTCCCTTTCCCTCCCTACTACACACGCAGGAGACAAAATCTATGAATATGGATGATATACAGCATTGAATACCGGCAATACTCCTTACTCTTGATGCTAGACGAAGTGCAATCACAGACCATCGCTATGAGACTGAAATCCACGACGCAAGGGCACCTCAATCGCCGGGATGACAGTCTCCAGTCCGCCCGCCAATTCTCTTAGTCCGTCCTCGCCCGCGACATCTTCACCCCAAGGCAGGGCATCAATGTCGACATCCCAGCCAAGCAGACACCGCAGCACGACGCCGGCACCCGCCTTGCTCATCACTGAATTCATATCCCTGCATTTCTCATCGCAAACGCACTCCATACATCCCTGCGGTGTCACGCACTGGCACGCTTCGATGCGCGCCACTGCGCGGCGAAGCAGGACGTCGATGAATTCGAAAGCTTTGCTGGCAATCCCGGAGCCGCACGAGCCGCCCTTGGCGTCGTAGAAGGTAAGACGCGCCGGTCGTTGCCGGGCCGGGGGCTGGAGTTTCCTGATGTTCTCTTGGATTTGTTGATCGCGCATCTCGTTCGCGACCTTGAGGTTTCTGCCGAGTTCCTTCTTTGCGATTTTGCACTCCGTCTTGACGTCGCCGGGCGAGGAGATGACGAAGGTGGGGAGCAAGGAGAGGACTGCGTGTTCGGCTGCGTGAATGGCGGCAGCAATGTTGAGGTGTCTTGATTCGAGAATCTCTAGCGCGCGTTTGGGCACATCGAGCCACATGCCTTTGGTGAAGATGTCGATCGGCGGATTGTCCACCGCCACGGCATCCAGCACACGGCCGCGCTTGTCGATTTTGAAGAAGCCGTACACGACTGCATGGATCTGCACCGAGCCGTAGAATGCGCGAGAGGCAGAAGTCTGATTGATCTGCCGCATCACTTCGGTTTCAATGGGGTCAATATCGGTGTAATCGCGCTGCAATGTACTCCAGTCCACGTGAACCTTGATAACGCGAGCGAACCGCTGATCGGTGTTCAATTCCTGAACGAGGTACGTCTGGCCCTGATGCAGGAAGATGCCGCCTTCGTAGATCGTGAAGAAGGCACGAGAAGCCTCCACTTCCTCCAGGACGAGGTTGCGTGCGTTTGTTGTGTCGATGACGGCAAAATGCTGGTCCTCTGTGTCACGAATGGGCACGCATCGGGAAGGATGAGGTCGAAATCTCTCGTGGCAATGGTAGAACCCAAAGCTGTCTTTCACGAGTCTCGTGGCCGCAAGCTCATGCAGTTGCTTGCCGAAATAGACACGATCCTCGTCCGGGCGGATCGGCATCTCGAACGCTGCGCATTGAACATGTCCTTCGAGAATTAGCTCATTGGAAAGATCAATCTGCAGCTCGCAGTTGGGTTTTGTGAACAATTCATCTGGATTTTGCATGTAGTGTTGATCGGCCGGATACCTATCGCCAATCAACACAGACAAAGAATCCTTGTTCCGACGTCCAGCTCGACCGCTCTGCTGGCGCAGATTGGAGATGGAATAAGGGAACCCAAGAGTGACTACAGCATCAAGAGAGCCAATATCAACACCCAGCTCAAGGGCGTTTGTAGCTACGATCCCCATCAGACGGCCGTCGAACATCTCTTTCTCAATCTTCCGCCGGTCTTGCGGACTGTAGCCCCCCCGGTAACCCATGACGAGTTTTCCAACTTCTGGTCTATCGAGGTTCTGTAACTCATTCCTTACGGCCTGTAGAAGTACCTCGCACATTCTCCTGACCCTGCAGAAGGCGATTACCCTCACGCCTCTGAGGATCAACTGACAGAAGAGACGGGCAGTTTCAGCAACACTGTCTCCGCGTCCTGATGTGGGGTCATTGGGATCTTTGTAAGGGGTGTTCCAGCATAAGAACTCCTTGCGGCCTGACGGTGAACCGTCAAAGTCAATCAGTCTGACATCCTCAATGCCAAAAACTGCCTTCATATGTTCTTCGGGGTTGGCTACGGTGGCAGAACAGGATATAAACCGGACATGTCGGTTGCCCACCGCAGCACAGATCCGACGCAGCCGTCGCATGATGAATGCAACATGTGATCCGAATAGACCGTTGTAGACATGCAACTCGTCGACGACAACAAATTTCAGGTTCTTCAGAAAGGTGCGCCAAGAACTTTCCTGCGGTAATACGGTGATGTGCAGCATGTCCGGATTGGTGAAGATAATGCGGGCCTCGTCACGAATGAGGTTACGGCTCCCCATTGGTGTATCGCCATCAAAAGTTTCGACCATGACGTCCTGCAAGCCGTCTATGAACTGCAGAAGTTCTTTCATGCTACGCTTCTGGTCCTGCGCGAGAGCTTTAGTGGGAAAAATGTACATGCCGCGGCTGCTGGGGTCTCTTCCAAGTTCATGAAGCATTGGGACCTGGTAGATCAACGACTTGCCGGAGCTTGTAGAGGTAGATATAATGACATCTTGACCGGCGTACAGGGAGTTGATCGCTTCCGCCTGATGCGAGTAGAATTGTGTTATGCCCTTGGTGTTGTACAAGGCGTTAACGAGGTCCTGCGAGAGCTGAAAAGTCAAATCTCCGTAGACGGGAGGTTGGGCCTCAAACACTCGATGGCCTTCCGGTACGATCTGAGCGAAATACCAATCCATTGCACGAATTTCTTCAATGATTTCTGCCATGGATTTGCGCTCCTTGGGGATCGCGCGAGGTGGCTTCGAGAGAAGTTTCGTCGTTTCTGAGACGCCATCCTCGGAAACAAGAGGACTCGGAATCCACGCGTCCTTCTCCCTTTCCAGTCTCTCAACTGGATCGGTGCCGTCGTCCTCGCACTGCACCAGGAATGCATCAATGGCATCAGAGAACTTCTTATTCCGTTTCTCAATCAAGGCGAGCATCTGCTTCTGACTGTACACGGGCATCTTCAGATCCTCATCCTTCATCTTCCGCGTGGGTTTCGTGGGCTCCCCGTTCTTAGGATGTCGCACCTCCCGCTTCAGGTCCCCGTCAAGGAACTCGAACAGCAACACCTCCTTCGTCTCGACATCCGCGCCAGCAGCCTCATCGCATTCCGGACGCGAGAGGTCATAAGTCTGATTCCTCGCCGTCTCCTTCTCCCCCACCGTCATGACCTCCAACTTGGCCTCATCCACATACTCGAGTTTCACCGCCCGAGGCACCAGAACCCTCACCCGTGCAATATCCTCGACAGTCAGCTCCCGACCACGACCTAATTGCGCCTGTACCGCTGTGCGGATATTCTCAAACGTCGTGGCGAAGTGTTTGCGCGTGCAGCAGAACGTGTACACCAGGTTCAGGGCGCGGTGGGTCTGAGATAGACCTTTGAAGGCCTCCGGCCAGGGTGCGGAGGGTGTGCGCTTGGGCGATTGGCTCTTGGCCTCTTTTTGGGCCTTTGTTGTTCTGGTTGACTTGGATTTTCGCTTTCCCTGTTCGGATTTGCCGGTCTGGGGTAACGCGTCGCTTTTCGACTCGCTGCTGCTGCCGCCCTGGTTGATCGCTATCTTACTGGCATCGACCTCCGGTTCGAGCGTCGCATCCGCATTAGTTGTTTTTCGCGGTCTTCCGCGTTTTCTTTTGGTACTGGGGCCCTCTTGCAAAGGGGGGTTGTGCTCCATGGACGCGTCGTTAAATTCGGGTGTATTTGATCCAAAGGCGGCTGTCCCGTCGACCTCATCGTTTCTTTTTCTTTTCAATGCGGAATTGGGAGTTATTGAGTCCGACATTGGTCCAGCCATGTCGACGCTCCATCGTGGTAGTCATTGGGATGCAATAGTGCCGAATTGGAGATGGGCAAAGGAGATTTATTCCCACCAGGCGAGACGCGATATCACGTGCCATCGCATTTCATATAGCCACTTACGGACTAGCGTACCCTATTTCCCTAGATGTCCATATCGCTTCAGGAACCAAACGAAGCAAGAAAAGAGTGCAATATGTATTAAAGAAGACAGAAGTTACACCTCAATGTAGATAGTTCAGACCAGCTCCAAAGCTTCAAACCCCCAACAACCCAGCCAGAAAATGCAAGAAGCCAACCCACACCCCCAAGCCCGCTCTGTCAATTGCCCCTTAAGATCTATCATCGAATCAGGTATCGTAAAAGGTTTCCAAGTATGGACAGCTAAGTATTTGGTGCAATGTACTCCCTCACCAATCGTGCTGCGTCGTTGCAACCGAGTCTACTGGTGCTGTAATAGATCCTGAATGACATGGTAGAACTCTTTGGCGAGATCCTCACTTCCCATCTAGTGTTATGTCAGCAACCATATTACGATGGACAGCTGTAAAGGAATGCCTTACCCTGAGCAGAAGGGGGAAAGTACGGCCATCCTCGACACCAACCAGATGAATCTGCTTGGACTTGGGTTCGTTGCCCGACGCATCTCCGACCTTCATACCCTTGAAGAGAGGCGTGTTGAGCATGACCCTCAAGACGCCGTCAGCTCGCATGATCATGCGAGCCGCCTTTTTGTCCTCCTGGCCGTCCGTTATTTTCACGTTCACCTTGAATGTGCCAATACCGCGCTCCTTCCATTCCTTGTTCGTGAACTGGAAAAGCTTCGCTTTGCAGCTGAAGTACGTCTTTTCTTGTTCCTCGCCTGTCTCAACTGTGGTGGAAAGAAAAGACGTTAGTTTGGAAGCTGTCCGTTGTAAGAGGACACAGTATCACATACTCTGCTGCTCAAAGAACCTCTCGTCGGGTTTCTCTGCCTCGAATTCTTTGGGACCTGTTTCGGCCTCGTCCTCTTCTTCCTCCTCCTCCTCATCCGCATCCGCCGCTCCAAATGGCTTGTCCTTAGTGCTGCTGCCAAAGGCGCTAGGCGCAGCGGGAGAAGCGAAGCTGGTGAGCCCCCCGGATTTAGCAGCTGCTCCGAATCCACCACTGAACCCTGAAAAACCAGATCCTAAGGTTGCAAAGCCGGAGGTACTTGCCGCAGCTGCAAATCCCGTGGCCGCTGGTTTCTCAGTCTCGGACGTGGCTGGCGACTTGAAAACAGATGGAGTGGACGCTCCAAGCGAACCGAAAGGCGACTGCTCTGAGCCAGCAAATGCTGCCAGGCTCGATGAGGCAAAGGCAGAGGTAGAGGTTACAGGCGCCGATTTGGTAGGTTCTTCTTCCTTGGATTTTGATGCCCCAAGGGAGCCGAATGGAGAGACTGCGGACGTATTCGCAAAGGCGCTCGTGACAGGGGCCTGCCGAGCCATGCATGTCAGCAGCCAATTTCGGCCATTTCCGGCCACGGATACAATGCGACGATCAATACTTACCGGCTTCCTTTCCGTGGAATTGTCACGGTGTCGCTTCTTCTCAGGCTGTCCTTCAGCCTCGGACTTCTCTTCTGCTTCTACATTCTCAGTCTTGGTATCCGTCTTCTCCACAGCACGTTCCCCCGACTCGTCTTCACCGAGCTGGTCCCGACTTCTCTTTTTCTTTGGGCTCAAGATCTTCCTTGGAAGATTATTCTCGCTCAGTGGCGGCTGCTCGTCGCCTTCGGTGGTAGAGTCGCGCGATCTCTTGCGTCTATGACCATGTTCCTCGCCATCACTCTCTGCTTCGTCGTCGTCGAATGATCTCTTTCTGCCTCGGCTGCTCGACCGGCTATTCGACCCTCCGCCGACTTCCATGGTGTCGTTGGTATCCGCTGATTGCTGTGCATCTGTAGCCGATGTCACCTTCGCATCGGTTGCTTCCCCATCGTTCTTGGTGATTGTTTCCTCATTGTTCTTAGTGATTGATTCCGCATCGTTCTTGGTGATTGTTTCCTGCTGAGTAGAATTGATTGAGGTCTCCTTCAGTTTCTGTCGCACGGGACGCTCGGTTCCATCGTTGTCAGACCCCTGGCTATCCTCCGCAGTGGTTCCTGCAATCGCAGTGGGTGTGTTAATTCAATTTGTGCAAAGAGAGGAGAGTGCCGGTGATCGCTTGAGTACGATAACAAGCACAGTGGACAGTGTTTCTCCTACCTTGCGTCTTTACCGTTTCCTCCTCTCGAACCTCACCTAATAACAAGCCGGTGCGTCAACATAACGTGCGCTTAGGACCCTAATATGAGCGCCAGGAAACAGGAACTCTACCTTCCATAACCGCAGCAGGTTGTAGATCCGACGCCATGATTACCAGTTATTTCCGCCAGTAACTTAAAGCCTCCTTAATAGTGTAGGAACAATCTTTGCACAGCCAGCGCAGACCCGATTTTCGTAGCCTAGACTGATAGATAAGGCTCTTTAACGTATGGCACTGAGCCCTGCCGTGTCAGCTCAACGGGCACATCAGAAGGGTCATTAGACGAATATAAATGTCGTCTCGAGCGCAAATACTCATTCATAAATCCAGCAAGGGTCGAGCGAGGGGAAGAAGGGAGAACAACACAGAATAGGTGCAGTTTAAGCCCCACTCACGGTACAATGAGGCTTGACCAACACGTGCGATGCGAACGGACCGACCGACGTACCTCTTTGTAGACTATTCGAGTTGTATTGAGACTCCAGTCAACCTTATAGGCGAAGACAATATTGCTTCAAGCAGTTATCAATGCCGAGGCCGGTTGAAAGTCGTTGATAAAACGAGCTGGTCCTGTTGAATCGACCTGTGTCGTGGGATTGTTGTGACGAAATCTGCCAGCGAAGACGTTGCGATAACCGACGGCGGGGGCTTCAAAGCAGAGAGGCTTTGGTTCAAATCGCTCAGAAGACGGGCACAGTGATGTACGCTGATACAGGAGGGTGGTGAAGCCGCAGATCGAGACGCAATCGAGTTCCGAGAAGAGTGACGCTGAGCTGTGTTGTGTTGTCTCATTGTCACTCCGTCTTGTCGCCCAGTCACCGCTCGGCTCCACCCCGCTTACCTTGAAGCAGCTGTCAATGTAGAGTCTGGGCAGAACATTCCATTGGATATCTTGAAAATGCTAGAATATCTAAGAGTACAATACTGGTGAATTCGGATATGGTAATAGCAGAAACAAACAAAGAAAAAGAGCTCATTCACTGATGATGGAGCAGCATACATGCCCAAATGTTGTGTTCCTGTCCCCTTTTCCATTCATCTCATGCTGGACTGTATACTCCGTACTGAAATTTCGTTCGCAGTTCGATTGATAGGATATCTGGCCGGCCGTATCGATCCTCCAATCTTCTAACTGATAAAACAAAGACAGCCGATCGCGATGTAGAATACGAACAGCGGATAGACCGCAATGCCTACCCGGTTCTTGATCACACCCGAACCACCCAAAATGCTCACACCTGCAGCCAAGGACCATGCAATGAGCGCCAGGTACACCGGTATCCGGGCAATAGTCGGGAGACCCAATGCGCTGAGCATAGCAGCGATGACCAGAGGGAACAGAGTGTAGCCGATGATGCAAACGGATTGAAAGAACGAACTAGTAACCGAGGATGCAATTGTTAGTGAATCAACGTCTCTTTACTTCAGCGCTTCATATACTTCCAAGGTGAAACATACATATTCCCACCGAGCAACTTGATCTGCAAGGTCACAACAGCCTCCCCAATCCAGACTATGGAGAAGACACCCGAGAAGACAAGGGACGACTGTTCATCCTTTGCGCGCATCGATAGGAACATGCTCAGGAGCAAGCAGAAGATGAGCGGACCCCTGCACATAGTTTTGAGCAAGTTAGCCTGCCTGCCTGCCGTTTCAATCGAGCCTTCCCCGACGGTTCTACGGAGTACAGCCGGCGCTCACTCACCAAAGATCCCAGTCACGCAGACCCTCACTCATTCCACCCTGCAGGACCACATCGGCATCCGGCCAGCGTCCCACAATGCCTCTGAGTCCGCCACCGAACCCGGTGGCTTCTCCTCGCTCGGCGGCCCCGATGCCTCCGCCGCCGCGCTGCAGCATACCTCCCATCAGGTACTTGGGCCACAGCACTTGGCGCATCTTCTCCCATACCGCTTGCAGATCGCGTGAGAGTGTTTCCCACACGGTTTCATCGATGGTGTTCTGCGCTGCGCGACGATCCTCTCCCGGGATGGTAGATGTCAGGTAATTGCTGGATAGATTGTTTCCGAAACCTCCTCTGCTCGAACTCGAGGGTTCGGACTGGATGTTGCCTCTTAGCGGAGCGGTATCGGAAGTGTGAAGAGGGTCATCGGCCTCGATGGCTGTCATGGTGGAAAGGTCCCGAAGCATCAGTACATCGTAGTAGCTCGGGTAAACAAACAAGAATCTGATGAAATCAAGAGAGGATCCGGAAAAAGAGACGTACTCACCATCATCGGCGTCAATTAGGTCGTCATCAAGGATCGATTCATCATCTTGTAGATCCTCATGGAATCGACTTTGAGAAGTGCTGGCCATGGTAGGCACGTATATTGTTTGAGCTCCGACTCGGGTCCAGTGGTAGATTTTCACACCCTGTCAAGCTGAATACTCTTGAACAACTTGCCCACTTGGTTGAAATAGGTCAAAAGATATGTCAATCCTCAAAAAAGTATTTTGATCGTGTGTCCCTTGGAAACAGCAGTTGAGTCTCCCTCATGTCACTGTCTCAGGCGGAGAGGCTAGAGTGGCATTACGTACGCGCACGGGCCGAAAATGGCAGGCGGAACAACACTCTATGGACGATCAAGGATGAAACAATTCACCCTTTTCAGCAGTAGTACTAGTAATTCATCCTATTAATATGTTTAGTAGAGGAAACAATTTGGTCACAATAGAAGTGTAAGTGCTGATTTTATCAGCGGTTGTATATCTCAAGCCTGGTGCCGTCAAGTGCACGTGGGCCTGAGCTTGAGCTATGAGTTAAGAGGATCAGAATGGATAGATATCACGAGTTCGATACATTGTGACCAGTCCGATCATCAATAACTGATTGTCTGATGCGATCTAAGTGTGTTTATGGAGATGAAATATATACATGCAAGATCCTCAATGCCATAAAAAACAGGACCACCAGTATGAATAGTATACATGTTAGTGTTGCAATGCCAATGCCTGTATATGCATGTAAGATGCCAGACCAAGATGAGATATAGTGGTGAGATGATGTTTACACAAGCTGTACAAAGTCCAAAAAGCTACCGAATAGCCCCGCCATGAGCCTCGCATATGGATACGAAGCTTAGTCGGCCTCGCCAAGGTTCTGTTTAGGGTCATGCTTCTCCTGGAAAGCCATGACCTGTGCAAGCGTTGGATGCACTCGAGCGTTTGCGAACATTTTGACCATATCAACGTCCGAGTATTCGCGGAGCTTCCGCGACTCCTGCTTGAATCGATCACGGTCCGATTTGGAAAGTAAGGACGCATTTTCGGGGTTGAGAATCGCGTCAATGAGACCTCGCGTGCGAACCATCACCCTGTGAGCGGGCGGACCAGAAACTGTCTCGTCCCCTGGCTGTCCGGGACGGTCCTGCCCTGTAATATACGAAACCCTCCCGTTCTTCATAGCCTCATGAAGTTTGTCAATGTGAGGACGCAGGTGCTCCAGAGCAACAGTCTGCAAGCTCAGCTGTAATCTCCGACCCATGGTGCCGAGGCTATCTGAAGATTTCCGCTGCAGGTTCAGACCATTTAATGATACGAGATGCTGCGGATTGTCGTGTAGTACTTGCACGAGGTCAAGATATGATTCAAGCGCCCTGGCGTGGGGAAGGACCAAGGACTTGTCCATCAGTGCCAATAGTTCATTGGCATTCTTGAAAACATTAATATTCCTGCGATCACGACGACAAGAGCTCAAGGCGATGTGAAACGTTTTCCCTATTGGTTCGGCCATCTGGTCGCGCATAACCTCGACCGCAACACGACTAGCGCGAGCCATTCTTAGCAGTCGTAAGTATGCATGGAACGAAACCATGTCTGGCTTGATGGTATACTCGTGATCCTCAAGCGTTAGATGCTGCCAGTAAGCTTTTCCAACACCAAGACCCTGAGTCATGGTCGAACAAGCCTCTATGATTCTGGTGAGCTCCTTGTTACCTGGGACAACGTAGGATGGACCAATGGTGCCTTTCTTCATCGTGGAAGCGGAATCGGTAGACACCACTGGGTCAAAAAGATTTTCAAAATCCTCATTCTCATCCTCTTCTTCCTCTTCCTTTTCTTCGGGTTCTTCCATTTCGGTCTCTGCTAGTCTGTACGGTCGGTTGCCTTCGTCTACAAAGGGAACGTCTTCCAACTCCTTATTTTCTGCGGATCGGCTCTCTTGACGTCTGACCATCTCAGGCTTCCGCTGGCCCTCAGGTGGAGGCTTCTTTGCCAGGATGGGAATGCCAGTAGTTTGATTCATCAGTGCGAAGACATCGTAACAATCGCGGTCGCTGCCACTTTGCAACAAAAGGTGGGCCATTGTACGCACGAGTTGGCTGTCTAAGTCAATTTGACCCTTGCTCCACCGGTAAACAACATCAGACCAGATTCGTTTGCCTTCCTTGACGGCCTTAGCCCTGCGTTCCAAGATGCGATCAATCTCAGACATCTCTCCCACGTCGGATTTAAGGGCATTTGTAATGGCTCTCAATATAACGGTGTATGTCAGAGCATCCGGCGAGTCTGGCCCCTCCTCGGGTAGCTCGCTCGCAACCTCCCAAAGTGTATCCATGTGTCCCTGGCGACAACATACGGTGAGCATGGCGTTACTGTGGATGATAGAAGGGTTGACTGCAGAGTTGCTGTCATAGATAGATCTGTAAATTGACAAAGCAGTTTTCACGGGATTCAATCCCAGGCGCGTTTCTCTCTTCACCGTGGCAAGACCATACAACATAATCGTGTAAGTCCAGGAAGTAGGCTTTCGTCCACGCTTCTTCATCTGCAATTTTGGGGAGAGATGACAGTCAGCAACCATGCAAGAGAAAATCAAACGGGGGAAAAGATTGTACTCACCTCATTGTAGAGCTTCCATGCCGCTTTGGGTTGGTTCTTCTCCATACAGTACTGAAGCAAGTGATTCCACGCCACTGAGCACTCCATATTCTCCTTTTGCGCCGTGCGAACAAGCGCCACCGCGAGAGCCACATTGTCGGCTTTTAAGATCTTCGCGACCCGGTCCGCCAGCGCCTTGGGATCCATCAACCACTTCAACTCCATCTTCACCTTCTTCTTCGAGACGTTGCCCGCGCCGATACCATGATCGGGAGACGTCCCAGCCATAGCGATCTCCAACAGCGAATTATCCTGGTCCACCTTTTTCAAACTCCGGCTCTGCTTCTGCTGCGGTACGCCGTCCACGAAACTCGTCGTTGAATCAGCAGCACTTTGCTCAAGCGCAGCGGCTAACCCCGAAGCCTCTGTCGAGTACCACTTCATGCCGGAAATTGACACCGAGGCTCCAGGTTGCCGCGCAACTCGACCTCGCTGTGTGGCGCGTGCAAGAGGAGCAGCATATGGGATGCTCCGAGAGGCTTGAGTCCATCTTGAGGCCGGCAGACCTTTCAGTCCGACAGTGTGCTGGACACCGGTCCGAAGCGCAGCGGCATTGCTACAGCGAAGCATCTAGAGCCTTCAAGTCCTGACTCTACCCTGTCTTCTCGATCGCTAACACCTGATTCCCCAAAATCCCTTTGTAAAGCCCAATCTTTCGACCCAGGTAGCCGGATGCGCAACCGTCGAGACTCCGAACGTTGAAGCTGGACCGGCGGAGCAAGATTTCAAATGATTCGCTTTTCGGATTTCGCAAGGACAGGGAGAACCAGAGATCTCCCGACAGTTTTCTCAAATAACAAAAATTATAGAAAAAGAGAAGAGAGGACGTTGGACAGAATAACACCCCTAAGTGGCCACCAGACGGAGGAAATTATACAGACCAGGCCAAAAAAAAACGTCTGATGGGCTATCGCAGTTATCGCTGCTATCCGAGCTAGACAATAAAAGGTTAGTGCGCTGCGATACTGCCATTCGTGCGGAGGAACGTAACTCCGTCTCGGATTATCTTGCGCAAGCCTCAGGCAGCCACACTAGCCACATTACTAAGCCACATGTTGCACATCTTCGCCACATTCTCCTAGTCCGCCGTCGTCGGTTCAGCCTTATGAGACCATGGGCTCATGGTTACTGTTAGTCTCCTCGGTAGTCCCGTTTCTTAGTCCCGTACGTGCTTCAGGATCGACTAATCGTCGGGTTTATTATTTACGGCTAGGCCATTTAGAATACTAGTCCGTCCTACCTCAGAAAAGTGGAAACCCTCCGCTTGAAGGTTAAGAGGGTTAAGCAGTGACGAACTGGGGTTCGACTTAAAAATGACATAGAACATGCAACCGCAACAGTCACATCATTGTGAAAGCCGCGATTGAATCGAGCAGCCCACGGAAACTTCAGATCATAGTCAAGGCACATGATCATGTCTTACATTCCCTAGCAAGTCCATCTATAGTATGGCAAGAGCCCCGATGATGTTTCTTACACAGCCTCAGAAACCCTGCTGGTACTTCAGCCCTTCATGAACAGCGTTTTCCTATGCCTATGTGTCATTCAGAGGCGTTGCCAGGTCGATCCAAACCCTTGACCTCCAAGTGATGTTGCCTACGGATATTATGAATCTACAATGAAAGCGCACAATGGAATCTTCCAGACATCATCATTTGAGCTATCAAGCTTCGATTCCGTACCACAACACGTGCCTCAAATTTCAAAGCTCCAACAAGATGGCAATTGCCACCAGGAGGGGAGTAAGAGTAGAATAATCAAGAGGATTCGAATTGTAAGACTTTAGCCACCAGACAGGGTCATGACCGCATGGAAGGTCCACTGAGCAAAGGACATAATGCACAAGTTCAAACCAACCCAGGGTAACAAGAAAAGGAAAACATCAGTCAGGACAAAAGAGAGAAAAAGTACAAATGCGAAGCGAAGCAGAATAGCAATGGGGGGCTCGATACAAATGATGTCGGCGTGTATCACAGGAGAATGCTCAGCTCATGCAAAGTGCCTCGCCAGGAGTCCAAAATCACAACAGTCCTGGAATCAGTCTTTGCAGGGATGAGGGCATGCTGTTCTTTTGGGTGCAAAGGGGTAGAATTTGTCTTCTCTTTCCTTATCAAGCGATCTAATTCAAAAAGAAAAAAGAAAAAGAAAAAGAAAACAACGGGAACAGAGCGTAAGTCGCAAGGCCCCTCTTCGAGAATAACGAATCAAGGCCAGATGGTATCATGTGCGCAAGACTTTAAAGAATTAGATCCGCGATGGCGACACGGGATTAGGGAGATAGGAGATATTAGAATATGCAACCTGAGAGAGCACAGGAATGAAGGGCATCTATTGTGGGTAGCTGGCCGATTGGTTTTCTGCAACAAGCCATCGTCGATCAGCTATTATCCCTAGAGCAATAGATCCAAGGACCTCGTTGAAACGTCTTTCCTTCCTGCCTTCCGGCCTGCTAACAAGCGATTTTTTTTCTTCTTCTCTTTTGTGCATTTCCTCGTGGCCCGGTCCCAACAATGCAATGATAACAAAGGACTGACTACTTACGTTGCTGATACACCTGCCCGCTTTGTCCATACGGGGAGTGAGGATAGTTTGGAGGATAGGCCATCTGGCCATTACCCTGGTACACAATGCCACCGGCACCGCCGTACTGCCCCGGTACTTGGCCGTCGGCAGGTTGGTAGCCGATTGGCGGCAGCTGAGGGCGAACACCGCTGGCGTAAGCAGGAGGTTGAGCCTGCGCGGGATCGGTAGGACCGGGGGCATCAACCTGGTTCGCCTGAGCAGCCTGAGCGGCGGCAGCACGTTCACGCTCCTCGGCAGCTTTGCGCTGGGCTTCTTCCTCCTTCTTTCGAGCTTTCCATTCCTTGCGGATTTCTTTGAATTCTGTGGTGAAGGGCAAATTAGATAATTGAACACACTCCAGGGTGAGAGAACGCGGGCAAATAAAGCAAGAAGCTCGCCAGCCTGAGCATCGAGGTTGAAAAAGTATGTGGAGTTTAACTCTACGCCAGCGTCTTGCACTACTGCGATCCGCGGCGCTAAAGCAGTGTAACTCGACTAGTGTGCGATACCCGCACTAGCCTATTCAAAACAAATGCACTATCCAGGACATGGCAACTCCGTGACATTGTAGAAACTGGGGTTTTAAAAATGACAGAGGAATTTATCAGAAACATACCTTCGGGAGTCCGCTTAGCTCCGTGCGATTGCATAGTAACGTGGGCGTTCAGGTGGTTGAGGGTACCGTAAGCCTTCTCGCACCCGTTCCAGCCGCACTTGTACATACGTTCGATTTCCTCATAACGACGCCGGGGTCGTTTGTGCTGTTGCGCCCCAGGAATGGGCACAAAAGAGTAGACCTGAAAGAAAGAAAAAAACGTCAATGAGCCTTTTGAACGACATATCCAGTGTAGATGAGAAAAAATTGCGCCGTGTTCCACAACCCGTGAGACACGCTGGCAGCGGCCTCCAATTTCCGAGGCGTCCAAGACAACAAAAAACGCGAATGCGCAGCCTTTGGAAATAGACGCCAAAATTATCAAAGACATACCTGGCCAGGGCGCGGCCCTGCGGTCGCAGCAGGGGAGGCGGGACCAACCGTTGTAGCAGGAGCGCTATAGGGTCCAGGAAGACCGTGCTGGTGCTGTCCATAACCATGCGACCATTCCGGACGCCCATACATCTGAGGAGGAGGTGGGGGAGGATGACCCTGATACTGAGCCATGTCATGACCCTGAGGCTGATAGGGCGAATAGGGAGGAGGATAGGTAGGGCTGGATGCCGCGATTGAGGGATCTATAGGAACGTCCGCGTCAGACTTCACGTTCGAGTGATTGCGATGGTCATTTTGGTGCCCATCATGGAGGGTGGTCATGGACGGACTTGTTGCTTGAGCCATACCTGCCGCACCACCGGCCTGGGTGTTGGGGGCGTGATGGTATTGAGGCGGGCGGGCGAGGTAGTCCGGATAAGCAGGTGAGCGCGCGGCGGGCGGCTGGTTCAGACCGTAGTCCGACTGCGGTGTGTTGGAGGACGAAATGTTGGCGGCGGCGGCGGCAGAGGCAGGTCTAACCTCGGGTTGAGGCGTGTACTGAGGGGTAGGACGGACCTCTTGCTGAGGCGTGTATTGAGCAGTGGCAGCAGCAGAAGCCTGGTCTGCAGCTGGGTGTTCAGAATTCGCAGCGGCAGACGGTGGATATGGAAAGTGCGAACCTGACTGCGCGTACTCGGAGGCAGGTCTGTTGTCCATAAAACACAGATTTCAGCTGGTACCGGGGGTTTTCCCTAGTCTTCCTCCAAACTCGCGTGTCTGCTGTTTCTAGACGCGTCGAAAAACACAATGAGCTTTGTGGATACAAACAAGAGAGTGTTGAATTGTATCGCCATATGAAGGTGGGGGAAGAAAGATTGGTGTGGAAGATCGCAATGTGATCGCAATGTGATCTTCTGGCCCAAGTATTTCTCTTTCTTCTTTCTCTCTTTCTTCTTCCTTTGTAGAACGTACTTTTCAGTGAATCTGGATGGAAACAGCCCACTCCAGAAACAGTATCAGACAAGAACTCGCGCAGGCGCTAGTCACACACCTGAGCTGAGGATTGAAGGTGAATGAAAAGTGAAAAGAAACAGACAAGATCAGACGTCGGATCTTGTCGTAAAGCAAAGACACCGAGGGGCAGAAGGTAATTGACAAATGGAGTTAAGAATAGAGATATCAGACGGTGCTGGATTTCAGAGATATGATGCTTGGATCAAGATGATGCTTAATCGCCTTAGTCGCCTTTTAGGGTGGATGGAGGATGCCTTGCAGGTGGCGGTAGGCACAGCAGCACGAGGAACCAGCGGGAAGAAAAAAGGAACCGTCGCTTTTAGGCCTGGGGGACGAGGGTTAAGAAAGCAATCCAGGGCCAAGGCAAGTCACAGCACCCACAAGCGAAACGAGGAAATGATTAGATAAAAGGTGTAAGATTGAAAAAAACAAATAAAATGGACCACCAGACTCAAAGAGAGATAGCGCGAGAGACGGTGTCTCGATCGAGTGGCAACCCAGGATATAAATCACCCTAAAATCGAGACGGAGGGAAAATTGGTCGGACTCGATCCGGTAAAAAAACCTGGGCAGAGGAAGCGGCCTAAAAAGGCTTCGGATGAACGAAGTAGCGATTCTTTTCAGCAGCAATAGAAAAAGACAAAAAGAGAAAAGAAAAAAAACGAAAAAGAAAGAAAGAAAGAGACCACAGGTTAAGAGCACCTCGTGGGTTCCGAGGGTGCGGTGGAGTGTGTGGGGACGTAATCTTTTTACAGTGGTGAAAAGGAGACGGAGAGACAGAGAGGAGAGGAAATATTGGGATGCCAACGCCCAATAGATACTCAGGCTTTCCGACTCGGAGGCGATAACAGGAACCCTCCCAGAGGAACGTAAGAGGGGGCCGAGTTGGGATTCTTGCAAGTTGCGTTTCTATTCGCTGTTCCTTTCGTTCGCTTCCTTTTTCGTTTCTTTGCTTTTTCTTACCTCTTCCCTTTCTGCTTCGAAGCTTGAAGAGCCGGAGTGCTGTCGCTTTGTGGTGATGGGTCCGTTACCAGTTACCACTCAGTGATTCCGACCCACTTTTTCTGCGAAATATCAAGGCTCTCCGAGACTGTAAGAAAAAAATAACAGTTGTCTTCCTTTTGGTTCTCCAATGTTTTTTTAAACCCCTTCCCCTCAGTATCTAGTCGGTTGGCAGATCTGTGTTTTCGTATCGTCGAGTAAGCTGTACTGTTTTCTGTAGGCTCTTTTCCCGGCTAAGCTTTCCTTGTCTGACTTTCTTTTTCCCTTTTTTTTTTCCCTCTCTTCTCTCATTTGAGAGCGGACCTCTCCGCAGAAAAGTGGCGAGATTAGAATTTTACCGAGCACCCCCTTTTCTTTCTATGGGATATGGCTCTTGTAATTCGTCCACCCGAAATCCTCTCACGCAGTTGTCCGTTGTGGTGTGTCGCGGTGTTGACGAGAATTCAAGGTGATGTTGAAAAAAACTTCTAGTAGGACGAATTGTTGTTGGAGGCTTAGAGCTTGGATAGTCTACCCGCGACTTGGGACAGACGGTGCGCGCGTCGAGTACGGCCGCAGGGAGACTGTCGTGAACCTAGCGTGTGCGCCCGTGGAGACCATCCAAGATCACTGGCCAACGTTTTGGCAGCGCGGTCGAAGTAGTCAAGACTTTACTCAGAGTAAGGACAGATGGAGGATGAGCTAATATGGCGTGCCCGAGGAACGGCTTGAACGGTCTGGGTAAAGGTCCAAATAGCGCGGCCCTAGTGAAGAAGAGGGTGTAGCGCAGGTCGGGGAAAAGCGAAGAGCGCGTGCAGGTCTCCCTAGGAGTGGAGGCTTTGACGAGGGAAAAATCCAGGGCAGGAAATAATAATGGAAATGGTCAGACACAACCAGTGGTTCACCACTGGGTAATGTAATAATTATGACAAATACTTTTGGGACACGGTTCAGGAATAATAATAATAGAGATAACGAAATTAACAACAACAGATGTTGTATTTCTTTAGAAATCAAAATGGCGGCTGATGCCGGTAGTAGGTAAGGTAGCTTCTTTCTGCTTAGTCTGAGAGACTGTTTAGTTGGCAAGTCCTTATGGATGGGAAGATTGAAGGTCACTGGTGGAAAGGGGGAACGGAAAAATGATTATTAAGGTACTTTACCTATGGAGGTAGCCCGAGGTCGTCAAATACAACGGGACCTTCGGTTCTCACAAGAACAATCGACCAGAGGTATCATCCACTCACTACCTTACCTGACCACAATGACTTGATCAATAGAGCCTTTTTGACCTAGAGAATCATATTGACAAAACATTCAATTCAGAAACTTCGGTTGTGTCATTGCTTGCTCAATGTCAGTGATATTCGACATTTCGGCTCTACGTCGCACAGTGTAACTTGTACATGTGTACCTCTGGTAAAACCGTACAAGTACCTAGTGCTCCTCTTGTGCAAGTCAGGAACGCGTCAGTGGAGCACATGAGGGTAGTGACCCAATCATCGACAGTATCAAATCACTTAGACAGGAAGTAAGTGCTTTGACTGTGGCATAGGTCCCTTGTATGGAGACAGGAAGCAGGAATCGAATCATCCCAGTGCAAAGTACAAGCACATAGTAGGCTACAAAAGTTGTGATTTAGGATATCTACCTACCTAGAAGAGCAAGCGAAAGATCAATGGAAGGTTACTTCGGTACCTCAGGTAGGTAACCTTGAAGTGGTGTGTTGGGGGGATCGATCATTTGTCGCGTCGTTGAATCCAACACCGAGGCTGGAGGTATGGAGTACACAATACACATTAATACAGTAAACAAGTCGTGGTACTTTTGTCGTGTCATTATTTCCTCCTTAACATCATGTCCTCTATCTCACACATTTGAGCCTATGTGTAGTCGGGGCACTTGATGATGCTGGCTGGAAAGTGCCAGATAACCTGATGACAGCAAGAAATGTTAGCATAATCAAACATGTGATCGACAATAATATTATTGAAAATGCAGAGGAAAGGGGCAGCATCAGATGTTGGAAATGGGATGGGAACGGAGTGATCAATGTACGGAGTGGATGAAATTATCGCGATTTTACAAATGAGATGCCATGGGATATCAAGCGGGATACCGGCAGTACTCTGGCAAAATTAGGAGTCACTATAAATCCAATTTTACACTTTCCAGCATGACCATAAAGCCAAGACTCATTATCATTACAATAGTGACGGAAATTATCATGATCTTGCCCCCTTAGAATGACCAGCCATGCATATTGAAGGGGAAGAGAAATCTATCTAAGGAATGCAAGAATCATGCAAGGCTCCAACCTCGGAAAGGCTCTCGCCTGGGCAAGCCTGGGTCCCTAATTTGGACCTCAATGATTGGTGCTCTGACTTGATCATACCCCGCGCAGGTGGAGCCCAAACACACTCACGGTAACTCACCCACTAGGTAATGCCTGCGGGTGAAGAGAGCAGGCCAGCAGGGGACAACATGAGAAATCAAGAAAAGCGCCAGTCATGCTTGTTGCTTGATAGGTCACCTTCGCATCATGACTTTCATTTATTTGGAGTTACATTGGATGGGCCGTAGAGTGATTACCAGTGGTATGTACAGAGTAGATATGGTGTGTACAGGAGTCCTAAGGTGATATTGTAGAAGTTAATGTCCTTATGGGAGCTCTACATATTCATCAGATGTATTCTGTACCCGGATTTTGGTTCGTTCAGCGATCCTCTATCATTGCATTATGACTGAAGTACAATTCCAGAAAGAGGGTGATATCAATGTCCCGTCATAGTCCCAATGCTGCAATAGCAGGCATCCAGCTGGCTATGACATCTTGAAGACAATTTCCTGCGCATTCAATGTTGGTCCTAATATAATTGCTCCCCTCCCCTGCTTATGGTCTATTTAATTTGGCCATTATCCGAGATGTTTGTTCAGAAAAAAAGGTGGATTAGTTGACGACGTATATGTGACAAGTTATGACAGCAGTTAAATCTTCAGGTTGTCTTCGGATGTATGGGTTAACACCATCATTAATTCATCATGCCTAGCCTCAGTCGCCCGTGTTGTGAACTTATGATCCGATAACTTACGGAGAACCATAGCGTTTCGGATACTGGCCGATTGCCCTCGCTTTTATGGATTGTTGTCGATGGGTTTAGACGACCCTCCTTCAATTCTCATACAATCCACGACGCCAACTGAAAAGAAACCAGTCGCTATATAGGCCTCGAAGTGTCGTGTTGTAAGATAGCTTCGAGCTTCGAGCTTCGAGCTTCAAGTAATCATCCAAAACCATAGGACACTGCAAGGTCATATTACAGGATCATAACGTCCACAGTAAGTTGCTTCAGCTTGTGATACTCCCTAGGTGTTCATACTTCATACCTCCCTTACCTCACATTTCTGGAGGCCGACTGGATCACTGGGGCCAATACTCCGTATGACCCACTCCATTGACAGCACAGTACTCCGTAAGAGCTATCTTAATCCGAGGGTTTTGTCTCTGTCCGAATTCATGATATTACTAATTTTTTCTCCCACTTTTCCTGCAACATCATGCAGATAATAGGGGTAAAGACTCATCAACGCCAATCTCCAATACAACCCGCTGTGATCATGATTCTTGTCAATTGGTCATTCCATATTGACTCGTTCGACTTCATACTCCGTACCCTCTTCTCTTTGAGTACATTCATCCGCATCTATAGAAAATAGACTAC